CTTCTCGGCCCCCAACGCCAATATCCCCCAAGCAGGAACGTCAATGTCAGCACCAATGTGGTTGCTCCAACTCCATCATGAAAGCGCTGCAGAATTTACGGATCTCATTGTCGGATTTTCCCTTTGGATCAAAGTCGGCGCCACTTTGCCGCCTCCCATGTTCACTGCCAGCGGGTGTAAGTTTTGGATGCCTAAACGCCGGATCTTCACAACTTACAGCCAGTGAGTGCGTTCTTGAAGATTTGTTCGAAAGCCAAAGGAACTTGAGAATGGACATGTTCACGGTAGGATGGAAGCGAAGACCGCCCTTGTACGGGCCCAATGCGGAGTTGAACTGAACGCGGTAACCGCGGTTGACCTCAAGCTGATTGCAATTGATTAGAGACCACGAAAAAAAAAGAAGAACCACGGACGGATCAAGCTCACCTCTCCCTTGTCATTTTCCCAGGTAACGCGGAACTGGATGGTACGCTCGGGAATAGAGGCGACCAGAAGGGCCTTGCGATACTCCGGATGCTTCTCAAACAGAGTAGAATTGTCGAGGGAGAAAGCCAATTCTACACAATCACGAGTTTGGAAATGATTAGCTCTTGTCCGATCACTACTGTCAGGGACACAATGCGCATGTTTCCCGCTCGATGACAAGTTTCAAAGGTCGGGTTGTGGCCGGGGAACACAGGAGGGGAGTGCAGGGTAAGACAAACCTTTATAAGCCTGTTCAAATTCCGGTTCGATGGGAAGGTGAGACATGACTGCGACTGGGATCTTTTGGTGTCAAATGTGCGCGTTGAAGGAAAAAGGAATGGGAGGTTGGTGTGAAGAGGGGAGCGATGGAAGAAAAAGAGAAGATGCCGAAATCTGAGGTGAAGGAAATGATCTCAGAGATGGGGCAAAAAAAACAAGCTTTGGGTGCGTGTGCAGATCCAAGTCGCGTGCTTCTCCCACTGGAACGAAGGCCTCTGGATGAGCAGACGGTATTGTCTCGAGATGAGAGGGGCGAGAGAGGAGAGAGAGAGCGAGAGAGAGACAGAGAGAGAGAGAGAGAGAGGCAGGGAGCTGGAGGGACGGGGACAAGGTACAAGTACTTTTTGGCGCTTCCTGCTGGATTTTTGACCTGTTCCTCTTTCCGCAGCTTTTGACTAATTTGGCTGATTATCTATCTCCCGAGTTTCATTGGGATAATTCGCGTATGTACTACTAGTTCCGGGCTGACAACCGTTCGGTCGGCCCCCCCTCCAAAGCTCCAAACTGCCATTTACTTATCGTGTGGCTCAATCGGCTCTTTGTTCTCCGCTCCCTCCTCTGGAAACGAGGGCAGCGTTTGCTTTGTCGTTGCCCTCGTCGTGTGCTTGCCACAAAGCTTGAGGGAAAAGCTCTTCCTTTTTGCTTCTTATCAGTGGAGCGGGATCTGGGATTGCCTATCTATGCATATGTGGCCGCGGTGAAGCTTATTTTAGCCCGCGTGGGTAACAGTGGGCGTCTGCTGGTGTGTTCCTCGGAAGCAAAAGGGGGAAAGAAAAAGAACGCAGCAGACGAGTGCTGTCTACTCTACAATTGAATGCCAGTTCCAAGCGACGATTATTTGCTAGCGAAAGCTCTCCGTGCACCTTGCAGCGAGCGTTTCTTCGAGACTTTTTTTCCCCTCCCCTGTTCGGAGCTGTGACTGGGATTCGGGCAAGCTGATGACGTAGGTAACTAACTGGGTAGCTCAATGCACGATGCAGCAGCGAAAGAAGCGCAGATTCCAGCAGAACAGCAAGATTTCAACTGCGACTGCTGGTCTCTCTTCCTTTCAAATTGATCTGGAATATATTCCGTCTGTTCACCACTTCACATTGGGCTGAGCCTCCTTGACAAAATCTCACTACTAACAAGATGCAAATGACTAACAAAGCCACCCATCCAGTCCGATCACGGAACCCTATCCGTTAGTTACTTAATCCCATTATATGATTCTCCGGCTGAGTAATAACAATAAAGCAAAGATAACAGCGTTCTCTCCGGCCCGGCGATCTCGGTAAACCGGTTCCAATCCGGGATCTCACGATGCGCTCTCATAGGCTGGCCTTATGGAGAGCTCCATGGGAAGTCAATGGAGGGGGCGCCATCGGTTTAGCCTTTTTTTCTAGAAATATTTTGTTTTCGGGAGGGATCGGAAGGAGGATGATTGTGGTTGATGAGGGACTTTGTGTGATCTATCGCCTCTGATGGTCAAAGAATGAAATGGTGAGACTGCGACATTTTTTTCATTTTCTCCGACGACGATAAGGTTGTTTCCAGCCAGTCGCACGCTGCTCCCAAAAGACGCTTACCTGGTGCTTTTTCAAGCACATATTTCCTTTGTAGGCAACTTTGCACGGCATATATTCAAGAAGCAGACCCGTTCCGAAATCTCCCTTCGCCCCCCCGCCACGAAAGATAGCTAAAAAAGACCGTAGCAGGCACCAAGTTCTCTTCCGCCCCTCTCTCCCATGGCGGACGTCCCGCCTCTTTAAAGAAAGCTAGCCGGCGCGGCTAAGAAGCCTTTTCCGCTTTAGTCCCGGCTGCTAGTAATGGGGCCGCAACCCGACCAAGCTCATCTGCTGTTCTCCCTGAGCAAGTACATCAAGCATATCTGTCTCTCCATTCCGCCAATGTGGTCCTGCTACTGAAGGAAAAAGGGTCTCCTCACGTTTAAGAGGTATTGAGCATATGCCGTTGAGCACATACCGGCTGAAGCCTGCACCTCCAAACGTATAACAATGTATCCCACCACATGAGCTCGTCGGAACTCCTGTCTAGCCCCCTGTTTTCGCCCTATGAGAACAGCAGGTGCTAAATGTTAGGAACTTATTAGGACCCAAAACAGGTCGCAAGCATGATTTCTGTTCAGAGTTAGCTGGAATCAACCCTATTCGCCTAGTTAAGCTCCCTAACAGGGTACTTTAGTGACTTACCAGGGTATCAGAGATCGAAAGTGAATCTATTCTAAGTCCTTGTTGATATCCCCTAGATAGATTCACTAATATAACTGTATCCTGGGGTCCCGAGAAAGTTAAATATAGATCAGATACCGGATCGAAAGAAGGGAATAGCCCAATGCTGGGACAAGGAGCTGCGCGTTACCGCATTACTCTATATTTATTGGGGGCCAGCTAAGGAGCTCACCTCCATCGCCATGCACTGACTATTATAACTACTGTTAGGGTATCTTGCAGACAAGGGCAAGAAAATAATTTCCAACACGGCATCATTATTTACCATCGCATCAAGTTCTTTTCAAACCCTGCCTCCACTCTTTGAACGCTTTCGCAAATGTAACTTCTTTTCTCTTGTTCCCTCCAAACCCTTCAGCGGTGTAGCTATCCAAAGAGTCGTCCGTATTTTGCTTAGGACTATGTATAGGGCCCAAATTTATAATTGGCACCATGCTAGGCCTCCCATGCGCGCAATGGAATGGAAAAACGCACTTGGCTAAGTTGGCAATCAAGTCCCTACACTCACTTTTGCTCAGCACATCATTAAACATGATCGCTGATCGACAAGCACGGGAATTCAACATATCAACTATTCCACGTGGACAGTGGGATATCGCTTGAGGCCAATGCGGAGAGTCATCACCTGGGTTCTCCGGCTTCTCCAAGGTTGCGGACGATAAGTGTTTCGGTCTACAAATCAACTCTCCGTCTTTGTGTCCCCAAATCTCAGAACGGAGCATGTCAATTGCAAGCTTAGGCTCAACTCTGCATCGTTCTGAAATGAGAGCTGGAAGGGCAGTTACCTCCACAGTGGCATGCTGGGACGAATCGGCCTTCGATACGGAATAACAGCAACCCCAGGAGGCAAAGTAATCGTACTGTGATTTAAATAGCCGCGCTTCTTCAGTCGAGACCCTGAAGCGTATTGGCGTCGGGAGTGAAGTGGTATCCACGGGACATAAAGGCGACGAGCCACATAAATCGCCAAATAGTCGCTCTGTATGAACCCGTTCGTCTGCGGCATGCTGGTCTACAAGAACTAAGATTTCTTGGGGATTTGTGTTATCGTTTGGATACTCAACCATCTTCAACAGTAGAAACTTGTTGTCTATCTGTGCAATCATTTGCGCTCTGGCAAGTCCCGATTTTGTTAGCCGGCTACTAAACGAGGAAGACATCATGTTTTCGAAGTTTAAACTTCTTGGAAACTTGCAGAAGAATCTGGTGTCGTTGTGGTCGAGGTGACTCAATATAACGGGTTTCACTGATGGTATGGGCCGTTCTGACAAGCCGAAAACTGTATTCTTCCACGTCTCAAGGACAGAGTCGAGCCACGGAGTGGGGGCGGAAACCCGCGATTCATCGGGACTAGTGGCTGCGGGCGATCGTAGAGTTGGATTTAAAGAACGAAAGGGAATAGGCTTATCACCCTTCGATGACAAGGTAAGTCCGGTCCGCTCATTGATATACAGAATCTCCATGGTGACGGGGTTCGTCCATTGAATAACGTTGTCTTTAGAACTTTGCTGGATCGTATCAACTCCCATGTCCGTAGGGCACGGGGTTTGTTCCTCCAATGGTGCATTGGCTGCATGGCAGCTTGGTGACTCGCTGGGGACTCGCGGTTGCATAAACATTGGAGCCGAGAGCGAGGACGTAGGGCGAGAGCCCTCATCCATAACCGACTCCGCAGGTGTTTGGTCCAGAGGAGTGGTTGATATAGCTTTTTGACGTGGTAACCCGGAGCATATTTGCTCTTCGATATCGGTACTGCTTCCAGCTTTAATCCTCGTCCAATGTGTAAAATCTCCACGTGGACAACTGGGAGCGGTGCTGCGGTTCCCAAAACAGCTGGGGAGCCTGATTTTGGGATTCAGAAATTCCTCTTTGACAAACAAACTGGATTCCGCCTCACTCGAATGAGAAATAACTGCAGTACAACTTTTGGCTCTTTTCCCAGGATTGGCTTCTTTGTCGGTCGACTTTGATATCTCTCGAGGCCTCTTCTCACGTCTCTGATATCGGGTTCGTGAGAAATGATATTGTTCAAGAAACTGATGGATCATAGCAACGACAACGTTGAGAATTCCCTCGAGTGATTTTTCGGAGGATAAGGAACTGCTTTTCTCGTTAATTATAGAGTCTTCTCCCTCCAAATCTATCCGAACATAGAACATTGGCCATCTATTTATTCCCTTGGTTTTTGTTTCATACGTTATCTCAGCCGATGGACCTTTTGCTTGCTGGATGTCTTTCAAATTTAGGTTTTGCAGTTCCTCAGCAATTCCTGGGGTGTTAGTCTCTTTTAAACCGAAGTTGGACGCTGCAAATAGTCGATTGATTTCGTTATATATGATGTTCGCATTGGATTGTTGGTTGAGAGGGTTTATTCCGAAGGATATGAATTGTACCTGTTTAGTTGGGCTGGCTGTAAGCGATATAGCAGACCGTACCGAAATACCAGGTGCTTGGGCTGAGGCCGTCACCCAAGATTTTGATTCCGCGGGAGAGATGTACCCAACCTGGGAGAGAATTGAACGTATTCGAGAGGTATCCGGGATACCTTCGTCGCGAGAGCTTCCCGGCTGTTGTATTGGTTGACCCGGTTTCTCTTTACGGCCTCTAACTATCAATTTTCGGGGTTTTGAAGCTTCTTCAAGGACAAGCTTGACCATTCGCTGTGACGCAATAAGCAAGCCGGTCAATAGCCTTCTTAATTCATCCCATTCCCTGTCTATTCCTTCGTCTTTTTGAAGGGTCAAGGCGCGATGCTTAACTCGAACGGGTAGATTACCAAACAAATCGGTTACCGTAACCTTTGTGCCATGTTCAGACGTAAATTCATGCTGTGCTGGAGCGGGACAAAGTCTAGATATCGCGGTTGAATGGTGATACGTAACAGAATTGGTTGAGCTATAGGAGCCAATACGAGAAGTGATAGTGACCAATGCAAGCGATATCAAGGACGAAAGAAAAATGCCCTTGTGGCCGTATACTTCCTGTGGACAATCAAACTTGGAGGTGTCTGCATGCAAAGCGTTAATTGAGACGTCTTGACTGGAGGAGTTTGTCTGATATTGCTTACGATGTAACTTCCCTAGGTTTCCCTTTTCCCCAAATTCGAATGCTGGGATACCGGTACCATCGTCTTCAACTGTGCAGCCGCCCTTTTGGAAGTCCACGGTTATGGTTATTGTTTGAGCATCTGCATCCAGGGAGTTCTTGACTAGCCCCAAAATGGCGCCGTTCAAACTGGTGATAGAAGTAGAAGATTCGATTTGTGCAGCGACCTTTGAGGGCAGAGGTTGTATAGAACCAGTGTGAGGCGCCATGATATACCCAGTGTCAGAATAATCTCCGGTATTAAGGAGGGGCCAGGGCTCCGCTGAGTGTCCATGGAGTTGCAGACATGAAATCGGCTCACGTATTGGCAGCTGATAGAAGCAGAGGTTTCTCAACAGCAGGAATGATACCAAGCCGCAGCGCTTCTCATCCCATGGCGGTCGAGTTTGAGCTATCAAAACGAGGTACACCCTCAAGGTCGGGACGTCAAGCCACCCAAGATATCTCAAAAAGGGCAAGGCAGCTATCCAAAGAATGGGCAGCTACACGAACAAGGCTGCGCCAGCCTTCTCACAGCATCCGTGGCGTCGTCTTCGCGAGCGTCGTGATGGAGGAAGCCGTGACAGTCTGGGCCCCTGACTAAGCAGCCTCGCCTATCGGGATTGCGCAATACGAATCGACATCATCATCACCGCCATCAAGACCGCAGCAGTCCACTGTCTTCAGTCTGATGCTTCCGATTAGAAGGGAATTCCATCCGCGAGGGCAATAACTGCTATCCTGCACGTATCCCTGCTGTGTCTTGATGCCGCATTCAGCTCCCCACAATCCCCAAGGTCTGGCCACTAGCGCTCAGCGTCGGCTTATCTGCGTATCCTAGCCGAATCTTTAATTTGCTGGTCTTTAACTGAAACGCGGCTTTTGTCCCTGTCAACTCGCGACCTGTCTTTCCAAGTCTTCTCTCCTGGACCTCGTTTCTTTGGACAGCTGTGCTCAGCGAACGACCTGGATGACCAAGATGGCGACCGCAGAGGCGCCGTCCAGACCTCATGGTGCGTATAGACTTGCGACTGCGGCCCCTCCCTGAGATATTTAGATGCTAACCTGTGCTTTCAGATCGCCATGGCCGTCGGCACCCGTTTGCAAACTGGATGAAGCGGCTCGCGAATCTCAAAAGCTCATCATCCTCTGGCCTTCATTCGAATTCGTCAAACCACAAACACCAGAGCAGTACTACAACGGCGAAGGGCAAGAAGAGTGCTCGAAATAATCCCTATCCGCTGTCTGGAAATGTCTATTCACCAGGTGTAGAACGCACCAACGGGCATCTTTCCTTCTCAGAACCAGCAAATAGTTTACATCGCAGTGACTTCTCGCATTCGGATTCTAATATTGGGGAGAATGAGCAGATATCACCGATGACCGGCCGAAAATCCGCTGCGCCGACTCTGTCCACGAATGGTGATACTATACTATCAGACGCGGCTTATTCAAAGGCGGGGACATCGGCGACTGCTGGAGGGGGTAGAAGCTGTCGTGGGGGTGGAGAGGGCAGCACCTTTTCATCCCCTGCTCCGTCTGTTCGGTCACTTACTACTACTCTCACCACTGTGCAATCAGGCGCTCCGAATCATTACATTACAGGCGGAGTACATTCTACGACGCAGGGTGGGAGCCAGCAAACTGTTCAGTTCTCGCACCAGTTTCCAACCACCCCGGTTTCCGCTATCCCGCCGCACATCACCCAGCAACCGACTACGTATGTAACGGCGACAGCAAATAACCTTCTTACTGATAATGCATCTGTACTTACACTCGCGTCTTCATCGAAACGCCGCCGGCGGAACTCGCTAGACACGAATGCGTCCATTCGCGCCCTTGCGCCATCGTCGATTTTCAGCGGTAGTCGTGAAAGCCTACCTCTAAGTGTTTTAAGTGGAAATATGGGAAGTGTCAACACCGCTGCGGGAGGAGCAGAATTCCCAAACACTGCTTCCAGCACATTGACTCGAGGCGGGCTGGTGGGCGGCGAGCGTGCCAGCGTATATTCCGCTTCCGGCGCTGGGGTGGCGGATCGGGGAAGTATTCGCAGCGGACTACAGTCCCACCATGTGCGGAATGACAGTGCTACGGGAAGTATTGGTGGCATCACAGCGAATTCTTATCTTCCCAATGCTCAGGGTAGGGTCAGCCGACGGGGCTCCGGATGGGGCGAGATACCCGACTCCGAACCTAACGAAGTCGACGAAGATTCAACCACAACCGGAAACGGGGAGATGGTCGATTCTAAGGGACAAGAGAAGTCTAATAATTGATCGTTTTTGAAATGATATGATTTATGATACCCTTATTTTTCAATGGATATATGGCAGGTGGAGATGCGGCCCATGATCTTTGTATTTGTCGTTCTTCCGCGCATCGGTGCAATATTGGCTTTTCATTGTTCAGTTTTACTTTGTCGCTTTTACTGGTCCTCTTTCGTATGTCTGTACATACATATCCTTTCTGGCTCGTCTTTGAAACCCCGGTGGCTTTATTATTATTTAGACCCAACCGCAGCAATAATGAACTGCATCTTTTCTGAAAAAGTCCTCCTTAATCATCAGGTGTCGTTTTAGGTTTGGTTTCCCCGCAGGAGAAAGATATAACCAGCTGCTTTCCCCACCAGTGCGGCAACATGGCTTTTCGAGCTCGGCATGACGGGTTCTGCGAGCAAAAGGGCCCGGATGGTTTGATTCAGCTTCACTCGCCCGAGTAGCGCGAGAGTGCCTGTTCCCTGGGGTCCTTCATCCAAATTGACGTGTAAGCTATGTACGGCCCTTCTGTTCCGGCTTACATTCTCACCTGTCATCGCAAACTGTTTACTGACCCGTGCCATGGCAGAAATCAAAGTAAGCGATGAGGTACTTGCGTCTGTCAAGGACAAAGTCATCGTCCTGACCGGTAAGTCAGCAGCAACGTGCTTTCCCCCCTTCTGCCAGGCCCGGCGTGATTTGAGGATCTAACGCTTTCCATCTTCCCAGGAGGAGCAAACGGAATCGGTGCTGCGACCGTTACTAGCCTGTTTCGCGCTGGAGCGCACGTTTTCTACTGCGACTGGGACGCGAAGAATGGCAATGCACTAGGCGAACTCCTGCGATCAACGGCACAACCGGGAAATGGCTCGTTATCGTTTATGAGAGTTAACGTTACTGATTACGAAGCACAGTTGGACTTGTTTGACGCTGCATTCAAGAAACATGGTAGAATCGATATGGCGATTTACTGCGCCGGTATCACGGATGTTCGAGGGTGGCTGGATGCGGAAGATCTGAATCTGGAAAGTGTGCGAAAGGTTAGTCGAACGGTGGATCTTTATGCGTATCAGATGATACCCTTGCTAAAACACATGCGTGATCCAGGTCCCTAAACCATTAGCCAACGTCATTGATGTCAACCTCACTGGGTGCCTTTACTTTTGCCGCATAGCGCTGGCATATCTGAGAGAAGACTCCACTACGCATAACAGTCCCAAATCGCTCACTTTCATATCCTCAGTGGCGGGATTCAAGGAGACTCCTGGTGTTATCGCATACTCCGCAAGCAAACACGGAGTCATCGGAATCATGCGCTCCCTCCGCATGGGAAGCATTCCAGATTTCAACGTCCGAGTAAATGCAGTTTGCCCCTGGGCGACAGATACCCAGATCTTCAAAGGCATAGCTGACGTCTGGAGAAATGATGATCTACCTTTTAACACGCCGGAGGATGTTGCGCGCATAATTCAACAAGTAGCAGCAGATCCCCAAGTGCACGGCAAGGCGGTTTTCGTAGGCGGCGGAAGGGGTTTTGATATTGAAGAGGGTATTGATCGGCTTGAGCCTGAGTGGTTAGGAGAGGACCAAGCGAGAGAATTGAACAGGGGACAGCGGACGCTCGGAAGGGTATTCCTCCCCCAGCCCTGCCCAGTCTTCTTTGCTTCGTTTTACACTCTTTTTCCTTTTTCTCGGGGGGAGAACTTTTGCTGACCTTGTCTTCTTTAATAGGGAACCGGCTGGGGAACGGTAGATCTAACCAAAGCATAACAATCCCCTTCAACAGCCTCGGGGCGGCGCAAGTGTATTGATAGTGGTTAGAAAGGGATATTAGGGCTTAGGGCTAGATTGATAAGATAAGGGCTGACTGTCACGTGGCTGAGCTTCTTGCTTAAAGTTTACCGGGGCTTAATGACCAATCAAAGGGCAGAATTGGCGGTTGCTCTCGAGTCATCGGGAAGAAACAAAGCGCTCAGTATAATTCCGGTCTTTTCACTTTTGAAGGATATCAATCGGCCTGTTCTTTGTATACTATCAGGGAAAGATAAATACGATTATCTAGTTGGATTAGAACCCCAAACATTGAATCCCTGATGGCGTTCACCATCAAAGTCCCCTGTTCATCGGCCAACATCGGGCCCGGTTTCGATGTCATCGGTATGCTGGCTTAAAATAACCTCCGCATTGCCAATTGAAAAAAAAAAGACGAGAAGGGGTTTGCCTAACTAATGCCGAAACTCCAGGCCTTGCGCTCTCGATCTACCTCGAACTCCATGTCACGCCGCCCTCCTCCTCCAACAAACCCAAGCTAAACTGCTCCATCTCATACGAGGGCGAGGGCGCTGATGAAGTCAGCCTCGACCCCGAAGTCAATCTAATTACTCGCGTCGCGCTATATGTACTACGCTGCCATAACAGCCATGGCTTCCCCGCCCCGACGCATGTTCATATCAAGAACCCCATTCCACTGGGTCGAGGGTTAGGATCGAGTGGTGCGGCGGTGACGGCGGGAGTAGTGTTAGGTAATGAGGTAGGAAAGCTGGGTTTGGATAAAGCAAGAATGCTGGACTATTGCTTGATGATTGGTAGGTGTGCATTCGAGCATCAATGTCATGCTGGCCGTTGGCGGGGTCTATGAGGAAACTGGTACTGATTGCGACTTTCTCTCCCTATTTAGAACGTCATCCGGATAACGTCGCTGCAGCACTCTATGGTGGCTTTGTAGGAACATACCTCCGCGAGCTGAAACCTGAAGATTTAGCCTGGAAGGAGATTCCATTGAGTGAAGTCCTACCCGCTCCCGCCGGAGGAATAGACACGGGAATCAAACCTCCCGAACCGCCCGTCGGAATCGGCCACTATAAGAAATTCCCATGGGCAAAGCAAATCAAAGCGATCGCCATCATCCCCGATTTTGAACTTCCCACCGCAAAGGCGAGAGAAGTATTGCCAGAAACATACTCCCGAGCCGACGTGGTATGCTCCCCAACCCCACCAAGTTTCACGGACCATTGGGAAAAAGCCTCTAACCCCTAGTCCTATCAGATATATAACCTCCAACGCGCCACTCTGCTTCCATCCGCTCTCAGTCAAGATCCCCTTGATCCAGACATGATCTACCTCGCCATGCAGGACAAAGTCCACCAACCATACCGCAAACATCTAGTCCCTGGACTCACAGAAATCCTTCACTCCATGAATCCTAGCTCGCAGCCCGGACTGCTCGGCATATGTTTATCTGGCGCCGGACCGACGATTCTCGCACTAGCCACGGAAAACTTTGCGGAAATTGCAAGCCGGATTGTGAGTGTGTTCAAGGAACACGGAATCAGCTGCAAATCAGCAGTCTTGGAGCCGGCAGAAGACGGTGCAACGGTGACTAGAACGGACTAAGGGTTACGGGGATAAACGAAGGTAAGAGGTTTACCGGTGCTTGTTTTGGGGGGCTTGTGCATTAGTTAGAGATTTAAAAGTTGGGATCGGTGCATATTTGGTTTCTCCATTGGTGAATTGAGTAGATATGTTGTATATCATCTATGATAATAGATAGTAGATGGCTTGCTATGGCCCGATCAGTTTGCCAAAGCTGGGATATTTACTATCCGAAGTTCTCAAACTTGGGCTTTTTGAGAGTTGATACATTCCCTTTTAACTCGCTATATTGTTCATTTGGTACGCAACCCATATATTGTAAGTGAAGCCTTCGTGAATAGCAAGGATAGTAGTCATCCATGATCATGGAATGCAATCAAATTCTAAAACAATTTAAACTCGCCCACGAATGGTTATTAATTAACAGAAGCGCCAAACCAAATATAATTCCCAAATTTATACACCGCCTTCGAGGCCAAAGTCGCCTATCAATATTCCAGGTTAAAACATGCCTTCCATGTCTAGATCTATAAATTCCGGATTGTCCATATCCATCATATTGAAAACGTCATCCATGCCCGTTCCAACCTCGACGCCAGCACCACCAACGCCATTTCCAAGTAACCCTGATGCTGCCCCAGCACCGCCGTTCGAATCCGCTACGGCTGCTGAAGCAGCCGCGTCCAACATCGCTTCCAGATTCCCCGGCGTATCTCCTATTGTAGTAACGGCCCCTTGGTTGGATTGGTCTGCAACTGTCTGCAGTTGTTGGGATTGTTGCTGCGGCTCGCTAGCGCCGCCAACTCCAAGGTGGATGTTTTCAATGATATTGTCCACGTCAACTTCTCCAGGGGGCATTTGTGGAATGGAGCATAGTGTTTCCAGTCGGCGTTGCAGACGTACAACGAGCTCTGCACGGTGCGGGTCGGTTTCGATTAGCTTCGACAGAGAATCTCGCTGCAGGCTTAATGCGTCGCGAAGAGTCAGAAACCTGCACCTTGGAATTGAGTACTTGGCATCACCCGCCTGTCGATATAAGGCCTGATCAACTGAAAACGATTCTGCAATCGGGGCACAGATTAAAGTTGCAGCAATATCGAAGGCTAGATCTCCACTTCCGGTTTCCGTCTGTAGTTTGAGCTCGTCGATTAATCCCTGAAGCACCTTCTCAGAACCGACATGTCCAACCCCGGCTAGAAGCTGCCGATGGGTATAGCTAGGAGGAGTCATGCTAATTTCTGGATCTGTGCTCCACAGAACCAGAGACGAGAACGTGTTTCGAATGCTTGTCACTAGGCCTCCGCCGGCAGGATTGGCTCTCCAGGTGTCTAGCTCAGTATTATTCGTAGCGCCGGTGCGCCGGAATGATTGGTACGGTTCGAGGACGTCCAGGATAGGCTTTATATCCGTTCGCGAGGGATATCGTGTCCGGATATCCTTTAGGGTACTCTCTAAAGTTCGTGAAGTTATACACAGTACAGTACGGTGGATCTCTTGTGCTTCTCCGGAGATAGAAGCGGGCCTGACAAGACCATGAAGGATCTTCAAAGACGTCGTCAAATCCGTTTCAGATTCCCAAATATGATCTCCCAGCCAAGTCAGCGCCATTACCAATGCTGGCAGCAAAAAAGGCTCCAAAAGATCTATCTGCGACTTAGCCCACAAAATCTCTCCAGGACTTGTTCTAGGGCAACAACTTACACTCAAAGCCTCCCTTAAGCGTCTCGAACTCTATTTTTCCAGCTTCGCAAGCGAGTAAGCTCTGGCTGAATAGCGTTGCGACTAGGAGATAAAACTCCTGTGGGCTACAAGATGACATGGACTCATCGCTAATTCCTTCTGCAACGAACAACGCAGCAATCCAAGCTCCCAGATTTTGTTTCTGTTTTTCCGTCAAATCATCAAGTCGTTGGCTTGCAGCTCCCGTTTCAAGAAGTCGTAGCACGAATGAATCAGGAGAATCAATCCCTAAATCCAGGGGCGTCAAGTCGTACTTATATTTGAATGCAATCACTATTAACAAGATGCTTCCAAACTCGTCGTAAACCAGCTGGTTCTCTCCTAGTGCAAAGTCAGATGAGGTATATATATTGAGACTAAGCATCACCATACCTTGCTCCTCGTCCCACTTCCATGCATCCAATAGTGAGCAGAGGGGTTGTAGAATAGACGCCGGGCTTTTAAATAGGAGCATAATGTCCAGTGCTTGTGGCCTTCGCGATAAAGAATTGCAGATATTCTTTAACGTCATGGTTTCCTTTCTCGAACATAGGTTATGCATAAGTTCAGTTATCGCGTCAACTATAGCCCCGGCGTTTCCATCCATAGATTCGATCCCGTTTAGAAGTTGCTCCGCTCGTTCGAAATTGTTATTCATTTGCATAATTAATTTATCTTTCGTGAATTGACCGCCCACGGGAAGCGTTTGCATCGGATTTTCTCCTAGTAAGCGCTCAATGCTCGACTCTGGGATCAGTTTATGCAAAGCGCACGAGAATAAAAACTCCTGCCGGACATCTGAAAGAACTGAGTTGCCCTGCATCGAAAATGTTTCTGAGAATGATGGGAATGTATTCGGATCAACGCGACTTAAAGAGCGTGTAATGCAAAGTTCCATTGGGATCGACGCCATGGATGATGCCGACATATACGTAAGGAATGGCGGTAGCTTGTTGACAAGAAAGGCTCTAAAGAGAAACATGGTTTTGCTGGATTCATTTCGGTACATCCCATTTGATAAGACGTCGAAGGTTGCCGTAATGAGCTCTTCGACCATTACCATGTGGTGTCCCTAAAATCCATATTAGGCGACTGTGACGTTATATCCCACCAGAATACTTACACCATAACGGTTATTTAAATAGTTTAGAAGCATATTATCGTCTACCAAAGGTCGTCCCACAAGCTATCTAGTGTTAGTTGCTAGTTAATTTGGGACAGATGGGCGAGCATACCAAAGCATTAATATAAATATAGAGTCCGGCTCTGGAGCTAATTGCCGGGCTATCTACCACGTTGGATTCAAACTGTAGTACCGCAACGTTGACATCTCCCATCATAGAATCTTCCAATCCCTTGTTCTCGTCACCTGAATAAAGGTTAAAATCTTTTTGTATGGAATCTAGTCGGCTCTTTAGTGGAATCGAGTATCCCGCACAGACAGTCGTATATGATGAAAGTGCTTGTCCGAGCCGTTTTCGATCTTGTTCACGATTAGCCAGTGAAATAGAAGTGCTTGAGATAAGCCCAAGTCAATCAGACAAAGAATATATAATTCATACCATTTTTAGATAGGGAAGAAAGCGCATTAACGCCCTTTTCCGTGGCAGCCAGCGCTACTAGTAGAAGACCTAAGCTTCCGAAAATGCAAGCTGCATCTTTATGTCCTAAAATCCCGCCAAAGTGTTCGCTATCTGGCCCCTCACCTGACGGGCTCCAAGCGAGTAAAGCAGAGATCCAGTCCGCAACCGCATTGAAGGTGTCGATGGCGCCGCGTGTCGCTTTGGGTCCGCGGCCCATAGTAATAGCCGCCATAGCATTTTGAATTATTTTGTTATCCGTCATAAGAGTTGAAATCGTTCTCTTTCTTTTCACAGCCCTCCCATCAGACCCAGCTTTCGATATCGGGTGTGATTCATCGTATATTGTGGAATATGATAGTAGCAACTTTAGTACCTCGGGTACACCGACATAGCCCAGCTTTTGCAAGACGTCAGTATATAGTGGAATTAAGGGGTCCCACATGAGGTCCGAAGCCAGCCTTGTTTTCCAGGACAAGCCGCATCAGCTCCTCCCCTGAGACCGGATGTCGACGTATCATAATTTTTGCAAAATCTCGGGAATTCTGAAGAAACAACCCTCTCTGATAAACATCTTTTTAGAAGAACAGCCCACTCCGGGCCGGAGATCTTATCATCTGGAAGATAGACCATATTTTATACCTGGTACAGCACCAATAGCGAGCATCAAAGAAACATAGATGACTCTGCTCAACAGAAATTACCACCAACAGTGAAAGGTTCACCCTATAAGCGCATTAATATGAGCCCTGAAAACAATCACTGTTATAGCAAATCATACCTAGGAGTGAAATTCCCCGTAGCCTTCCATTATGTCTTGAAGCTTCTTCATGAATCTGTGGTTGGGGAGAGGTGAATGACGTTGTGAAGGGCGGAACATTGTTGTTGCGGAGACCAAGTGTTTGGCCTGTTTGTTGTTTATTCAATGTTTGCAACCTAGTACTCTGTACCCCGTACGGAGTATCAACAATGAGAACTGTTTTCGACTATTTTACGGAGTACTTCCCAAAATATGCTGGACAAGCTTTCTCTTTACCCCCTGCTCTTCCGCAGGTTCTCCATATTAAACTAAAACAAAAACCCCATGCTGTACGGAGTACGGCTTGGAAACATGTACATCTCGGCTCAGCCTGTAAACCTGCCTAACCGACCTCATTTTGGCAGTATTGTTGTATGATCTTCGAGCATATAGAGGTAAGCTACACTTCAGGCACTGCATTGCAGCAGTGGCAAACATCCCCTGTGATACAACTTGGCATGATCCCAAAATATCGCTTCCCGGGGGGAAGTTTCGGGAGGAGCTATATTTGGTTTCAGCTGGGGGGATGTCAACCTTGAGCTGAACACAAGAACAGTCAGAGTCCAAGTAATTCTCCTTTTGCAGACGCGATTTAATGTGAAGTAAACAATCCTACCGATTGGAATTTAACGGCCACTCTTTACTTCACATGCTGTATGATACTGTACAACATAGATGCGGTCATGTAGCACAGAGTATAAGTGGCAAAACTCATACAGTCGCAGGTCCAGGGCATTAAATACTTTGCCAAAAGTATATCCCTCGGAACCATGCCGAAATGCCACGTTTGCGGAGTACGAGGAATGAAAAGAATAAACCCCGTTAGAAAGTTCCGCCCATGCATGATGCAGGTTGTATCACTTTTGCCACCATGGAATTGGGATGCAGCCTGCTGCAGTCTTTATGTTGCTGACTAACTGCCATGTGCTCTGTGCTGGTGGATCACAGATCGGTCTTCACCGATTCGTTGTGACCTGAATGTTTGTATACACATGATATACTCATAAACCCTCATATTAAATAGTTTCGAGTTGCTATAAGGCGAATGTCACAATCGCTAAAGACAGATGATAACTGCCTCGTGACATTTGCTGTCACTGGAACAAAATACCGCCCAAAGAAAATATATTTGGGCCGAAGATCGCCTCCCGGTATCATGCGCCAAGATGCAGAATAAAGGATGATCATTTTAGCTTCACTCGCGAGACGACTAGTGAACGTCGAGATAAATCTGGGCATAATGAAAAGAAAATCGTAGCGCATTATATGATAGGGAATATGGCAGGATTGTTGTCATGAGAACATTGCAAAGAAAACAAGAGGCCAAACAAAGGGAAGATGGAGAGAGCAAAGGTTAGGAAATAGCAAGGGCCCGAAAAAGAGGAAGACAAGTCCCGCTAGCTATACATATCAAGGTTGCAAGGAGCGATAAGTGTTCAGACAGGCAGTCCCAAACATTAGGCACTTCGGGATCGTGACGATGGTGATGATTCATTCAGCGCGTCGGGTGCTCGAGGTCCTACCATCCAATCTTCCATTGCAAGCCATTCACTCCAGCCTCTCTCTGCGCTTTCAATTTCTGAGTCAACGGGGCCTTGAAGCGGCCGCAGAAATGGAACAGTTTCAAGCGGGGGGATATCATAGTCGCGTTTGACAGCCGCCCATCCACCACTTTTTGCAGCAAAGAGATAATTTCGGCGTTCTTGTTCGTGCAAGGGTCCTATTCCAGTAGCCCAGTCATCTCCAAAGAACCCGTGTAGCACGCCGGGATAATCCATGCCGGTCGCGACCAGTCTTCGTAGATAAGGGACCAGAGATACGCTGGGTGGTACAGAGACAGCTGGGTCAGATGTACCTGACGGATGAGGTCGACATTGGGCTGCGTCTGCCAAAGAGTTGAAAACCGGATTGGGTTGTCTTTGAAATGGCAGTAGGATGTTCAGAAACGAGGACAACGCTTGAACGGGGACACTATGCTGAGCATGGTCAAGAAAATATCTCTGGCAGCTTTGGTAGCGGGGATGCCAATCAAATATATCGAAATTTGAGTCATCGTGCCGTTGTGACGCTTCAGACATGCCAGCTATTGCGACCGATTCGAAGTGCGCATGCAACCCCGGATGCATCTCTGGCGTAGGATGGATCGTGGGGTTGTCAACGTTCCTAAGAGGGCATATTTTAGCTCAATCCCTTATTCGCAGCCACTCCGCGTCAAACCCTACCTATTAAGACTGGGGGTGTTACCTGCTCCGAGAGAACCTTCGACGAAAAGGTCGACCTGCTGCTCGAAACGGAGTGCTGGTGGAACTGAAAAACCTCCTGATCAAATGTGATTCTTTCTCTTGCTGGCCTTCTGCCATAGACATTTGGCGGAGAAACGGCGCTGGCCAACAGCTCCTCTACGCGGAAAAATAGCGAAACGAAGAAGCGGCTATGTCACTTGAACCCGCTTGGAAAACCGCCGGGGGAAAGACGAAATGGCTGAAGGATAGCTTGTATGAGGGCATTTATTGACTTTATGAATCGTCGTGACAGCCATCACGACGAGCAGACGGAAAGGAGATCCTTTGCTCCTCTCTTGGCACTGGGGCAAATGTGAATTTACTCTGGTGCATCGACGCGATGGTGGACATCGTGCCAGAGAACTGGAGTGATGCTTTGCTTTTGGGGGGCGATAATAGCAAATCTTAAGAAGCACTAGCCAAACCCTCGTACTTCTCCACCAGCTAAGATCTTGGATCCGGCTGGCGGATGATGGATGACCATTGTTGTACCTGAAAATCAGCCCTTCCTTTTTGTTCCTTTTTCGATGGAAAAAAAAAAGGGAAAAAGGATTTCGGAGTAGGAGGGAAAGACCCCAGACCGCGGTGGCGCCTGTCACAGTCAGTTGTCATCGCTTAATCGGCGGTCGGGTATCACGATGTCCGTTAACTAATGGCCTCGGGAACCAGAAGCTCGTTAACTAAGGAGGGAGCCACCGAATCCACGGTATTGGAGACAAGCTGTTTCGAAATCTCTATTGGATGCCCTTCTTTGTTCCCTGCACCAGAAATGGGAAAAAGGTTCTTTGATTTTTTGCTCATCTTTGTACCAATATGGCAATGGATTGCCTGTCGTTCTGTCAAGACAAGTGGTAGACGGTGAGATGGGGATGCCCGGGTGGTCGGGCTTGCTGGACATTATTCAAGGAAATCTCTTGCAGACTCGCAGACAGAAGGCTTGTGTGACAGAGAAGCTTGATTGCTTTGCAGTGGCTTTGAGTGGGTTGGCGCTAAAATTCCAAGGAGGTTCCAGCTTGCATGAGTAATCAGGGGTCATCAAATCGCCGGGTCGTGAAACCTCCAGGGGGTCACAACCCAGATTGGCTACTCTGGAGGCCTTGAAAGTCAGAAAAAGTTGATATTTGCCCAAGTGCATACCATCCGCCGCCCAAATGGGTAAAAGCATAGTCTAACGGTGTTCGCATTCTCCTCTTTTTAGTCCACACTACCCCTTCCATTGAGGATGATGGCTGAATTGGGATAAAGACCACAATCTCGGCGGCCCGGCGTGAGAGGCTCTTGGAGAAAAGGCCGCAACCAATCCTCAAATCGGAAGAAAACCGCCTTACCATGCGTTTCCAGATTCAGTACGATGAAGCAACAATGCTTCCGCGATGGACATGTCATCAAACATTGTTGCCAATTAGAGTGGCCTGTGAAGTTCAACTTGCACCAGGCTTATACTAGTTGAATCGCGAGTGCTGGATCGACGTGGATGGTTCACGCTAACAGCGTCATGATTCGCCTATTTCAATCATTTCATTTCGTCACATCTAGAGTAGTTATCATCCTATTTCGAGTGAGGCGAATACCGCCATCACTCGGTGTCATACTACCAAGAACATCCAAACGGACGTTCGCTTGATGTGACGATTTTTGAGAGAACCCAATCTCTGAAAAGGATTTCATTTTGCGTACTCCGTACGGATAAATTGCTAATATGTTATGTTCCTCGGTACCTGGTCCTGGAGGCTGGCCCAAGTAAGTTGAAGTAACCTAGTAGCCTTTTTGTTAGGCGGGGGTGGGGCCCAAACTATTGAAGCTACTCAAGGAGGCATCGATTGGGGCCAGTGGATGCATAGGAAGCTCTGACCATGATGGCCAATTCGCATCGAAGAGGAAAATCAGCAGAAAGCAAAGGAATCCGGCGTTGGAAAAATTTTGAAAATCCTGTCTTTCAAATGCTGGGAGTATTTGCCAAATGGAGCGTCGCTGGCGTTGAGCGTTCAGTGTGCCTTGGGGCTCAAGAATCGAATAATAAACTTTGATTGAATCTCTTTCAATCTGCCAGATCGACCATGAAAAACCTGGTACAGAAGTTGTCTGGCGTGCTGATCTGCTTGGCACTACCGGAGTCCTGTCAGCCACATTTCTTGGTCTAGCTATTTGGAATCTTCAACAGCTGGGAAGGCGTGATTCTTCGGATTATCAAGCAGGGCAAAATTCAACGGATCTTCCACGACAGAAACATTCTCAGCCACAAAGAAGGTGCGTATATAGATATCATTCTCAAGAGCCATTACACGCCTGGTACAGATTGTGTTTATAATGCATTTTGGAACGATGGTTTTAGGATATAACTAACATACTCTGGGAGCTGTCGATGCTTTTCTAGCTGACTGCATGGCGGTTTGAATGAGGTGCCTCTCGAAACCCCAAACTGCGGAATTGCGGTTCAAAACATCGGCTAACTCGTGAAGCCTGGAAACGAGGATGTAGCCCCGAGTTCTATTATTGTCAGCACAGATGCAGATAGATGTGTCGCACAGTACATGCGTTGTGTGCCGTCTCCCACAGAAACCACCGTAGAAACTCTCCCAGATTCCAAATCTGCGCGGTGTATGGATGGCCAACCCGGCCGCCTCATCCGTTCTGTGAAACAAAGATTCTTCATGTGTTAGGAGATATCCCCGACAGTGTCGTGTGGTCCAAGCCAAACGATAAGTTCACTCACGGATACGTGGCCGCCCTGCCCATTCCAAGGCTGTCGTCGATAACTACTCAAACAAGCAGTCACTCTGGATCAACACTAGCCACATTAGTCAACCAGTTAGTTACAACACATCTTGTGGCGCGGCGATTTACGTGTGGCTGAGGATGGCGTGGCGGAAATCGCGGATTCGCCTGGAGAAACTGGTTGAACCTCTCCGTGGCAAGTTTATCGACGTAATGCGGAATCTAGACGTGAGGTGCATGAATGCATGCATGCTTGTATGTACTGTACATACATACCAAACAGAAGTAGAATATCATTACGCATACGCGCCTTCGTACTCCGTAGAACATAGATTTTATTCCAGGTCCGCCCAATGTACATTGAAAAGCCAGCTGCTGGGACCAAATACGAGACGAAAACAGGAGGAAAACGGCAAAATTATCATGTCGGGCCCCGATCCATTAAGTATTAGAGCATCGGCGTATAATATAACAACAACGAATAGTAGGTAAGCATCGGAAATAACTATAGAAGCACCGGGTCCTGGTAGACATCTATGGAGGCCGTGTAAAGAAAATAATAGTGGGTAGAGAAACGGGGGGCAGATCTGAATTCACAACGCATCCCTAGCAGCACGCAGCAACCATCTCAAATCAGCCCAGACTTCTCGATCTTTAAGCTCCTCAGAGGAGCCAATCGACAGGTTTTCGTCGGTCGTTCCAGTGCTTTGGCAATCTGCCTCTGGCTCTGCTTCTGCTTCCGGGTCTGATTCGCTTTCGCAATGAGAAATGGTGATTTCCTTCTTGGCTGTACTGCTGCCGACCATGGCGTCGTGTTCGTCTGTCCAGTGGGCATGGGCGGTAGGCGAGCTCTCTTCTTCCACGTTAAATAGCGTCCATTCGACCAGCCGGTCTATCCAAGGGCCAAGGCCAAATCCTTGCTGGCGTGTAAGGCGTTGCATTTCAACCTCACCGAATTCACTTTCTTCGTCTGATTCTGACGGGTAATCCGATTCCGAGGGAGGAAAGGATCGGTTAAAGATAGACGATCTTATAGAATTGTGATCGTAAACTGTGTCCTCGTTCCCGTTTCCAATTCGTGACGAATTATTGTCATTGCGCCGCTGGGACATGATCAATTGCATTTCGTCACGAACAGTCTTGTCTACAAAATCCGGAATGACTTCGGTTTGGTCACGAAAGGGTGTATGTTCACCACTTCGGGAGCTGAATACTCCATCCGCCGCAGTCATAAAAGATGCTCGACTACTCCGTGGACTAGGGATCTGGGATTTCGATCCACGCCTCGATAGAGCCGTAGGAGTTGCCGCTCCAGAGCGGTATCTTCGTGCCGTTTGGCTACGGGGTAGATGTGGTCGACGTTCATGTTCTTGCTTTATCTCCGAAACAAGACTCGTTGAACTTTCCCGCTGCACGAGCCAGCTTTGACCCTTCTCTTCTCGTGCCGAGGTTGCCAATGCCAACCCGGCTCTCAGTAGCCATTCGTTATCCTCATGTTGGCTCCGGGCTCGTGGCAATCGCTCTCGTGGATTATGACTGCGTGTTCTGTGATGGTGCGCAGGCCTCTGGGTACCGAGAAACTCCAAACCGGTATCACTCATATGGATTGTTTTCGAAGAAGTTTTCTTCTTGGTCAAATTCGTTAATGATACATTTCGGGAGTCGGAGAGCACAGGAGGAGTAGTGGGCACCGAATGAGCTGAATAGTAAGAAGTATGTTGGAAGTGAGGGTTATAGCCATAGTCATCTTCCTTTCCAGAAACAGGGCCATCCGTTTCATCGTCGCCGAGCGGAAATCTGCTGGTCAGTGGAGCAAGCGAAATATGTTGAAGGTTGGTGTAGGACCGACGAGAGCGGAAGCCCGACGAGCTACTTCGAGAATGGGATAGTGACTATGAATGTTACGTTAGAGATGAAAGAGCATGGGTATGGAGCACACCTTACCTCCATTATCTGTGAGCTGACATTATTGACCAAGCTCCTCGTCCTCCATTGTTGGTTGTGTTTAAGTCTGGGGTGGGATGTGCACTAGTCTATTTAAAGCCTAGTTTGTTTCTCAAGGTCTTTGTTCAAACTAACGTTTGAACCTGATGTGTTTGACCTACGGAGCACTTGATAATGAGTACCCTTCGCAGAGATTGAATGGCAAATATGTCTCCAATGCATGTACGATCACTCCGTTCCGATATGCATTGGCGCATTGATTTGGTTGCCCAATTCAGTGTTATCTCTGTTTAGTACGGGCTGATTATATCGCTTGTTGCAAACAACTTGCTCATTGTCTCTTGGGCTGATATAATTTAAGTCGCCCTTCCGTCGTCTGTAAACAGTAAGATAGTCGAATTACTATCTTGTTAGCCGCTCTCTGCCACTGGCAGCGACCCTACACTCGATGTCCAATTGCTATCCGATGTCAAACATTTCAACATCGGCATCAGTCTAGATATACTTCTGGTCATTGCCTTTACAATGGGGCAAATCGGCTTGTCAATATGCACGTTGAGTTCGTTACTGGAGGGTTTTGAAACATTGCTGCAGGGCATCTTGGTTGAAGACAGCTGTCCAGGTTAAGGGGCTTTCTGTTCGCCATAAACGACTGATTTGAAGCTGCTGCAAGGGCCTCCTATTTACTAAAACTGCAAGGACTTATCGTTGGAAATGAATTTGATATCTTGGTTCTTTTTCTTCAAACGGGATTCCTGCTCCTAAGGGTGTTGGTCCTCAGATAAAAACGGTGGTGTGAACAGGGTAGTTATATGTGAAGGCTTCTGTCATATTGCAGGCACAATCTTTCATCCAGGGGATTTTCCCTGTTGATACCTGCCACACCATGTTCTGAACGATCAATCTCAATTCAACCAGCTTGTGTCAATCCGAAACTTTCTTAGATTTCTTATTGACGAGGAAGACTTTACCCGTCCTACCTTGGTGGAAAGCCTGCGAAGACCCATGTCAAACGCACAGACCACACCATGTTTCAACGTCATGACAAAGTTGTCGTAGACTACGATGCAGAAGTATAAAAGGTCGTAAACAGGAACCAGAAACGGCTCCATCAAAGGAAAACGAAATGGTGATTCCGAAATTTTAGCTAATATATCTACTCCCAAGAAATCCCGCTAAACTACGCACAAACTGTCGTCCGAAATCCAGAGTTTTGTTCCCGCAAGAGGAGCCTCATCGATCAAAATTTTTAAGCAATTTTCCCCTTGTTAACAACGAACCCTTCGAGGGCCGAAATCGCCGCCCACAGTCGATTCTCGGCTTCGGGGAAGACCAGGGATCGCTCGCCGTAGAAAACTTCATCGCTAACCTCCTCAGGATGTCGTGGTAGGCAGTGCATGAACTTCCAATGCTCCTTTGCGCCTCCTCGCTTGGCAAGGTCAGACGTGACCTGGAAACCTTTAAAAGCTTCGAGGCGTTTGACCTTCTCGCTTTCTTGTCCCATTGATATCCAAGTGTCGGTGACAATAACATCCGCGTTCTTTACAGCCTCCTCTGGAACTGTGGTCTGGGTGAGATTTCCTGGCGACTGCACCCCTTCACGTGCCTTTTGAACCAGTTCCAGGATCTGGGATGGCATTTCGTAGCCCTTGGGTGTTGCAACGGATATGTTTACACCCATCTTCGTGGCAGCGATGGCGAGATCATAAAGAACATTGTTTGCATCGCCCACCCAGGCGATTTTCAACCCTTCCAATCCTAAACTCGAAGAATGTGTTCTATTTGCGATAGATGGTGATGCAAAGGTTTCGTGGATGGTGAGGAAATCGGCGATCGCTTGCAACGGGTGGAACGTGTCGCATAACGCGTTGATGACAGGGACGCTCGAATCTTTGGCCAAGTTGGCGATATCGGAGTGAGGTCCCACGCGCGCAACAATGCATGATACCATTGAGGATATCACGACAGAGGTATCATATAATGACTCATTGACACCCAATTGGATATCGTCTTTGCCCAGGAACATGGGATGGCCTCCCATCTTCACCACCGCGCCTTCTGTCGATACTCGGGTTCTGGTGCTGCGTTTGCTGAACAACATAGCCACGGTTTTTCCTGACAGTGAACCCAATAGGCGCTCTGGCATGGCGTCTGACTTGATGGCCTGTTTGTGGGCATAGGCATTTCGGACGAGAGTAGCGAATTCTGTGGGCGTAAGGTCTGCGATGGAAAGAAGATGTCGGGGAGTCGAAGGGGCATGGGAGCCATTGGTGTATGGTCGCAGCTGGTTTTTCGCCATATTTCGACAAGCGTTGGCAGTGCTTCGTGTCGCAGCTTGCATGGAAGGAGGATTGACTTGGTAAGGAGAGCGGGTGTGCTGATAATTGCGAGCTTGGGAAGGAATGGGGGAAAGTCTAGGAGTATGACGAGAGCGGGAGAGTTGAAAAAGAAGGGAAGAAGGCGTGGAAAGATTAAATTTTGCCATCGCTGTCAAATCTTTGCCGAACGGAATTGACGCAGCTTGAAAAAGAAAGAACAGTGGTTCTGGTGTGGAGCGATTTTCAGTGTTCTCTCAGCGAAATTATGACTCTGCAACAAAAAAGGTGAGCAGCCGTCCGCCCGAACCCGGAGCTCTCTGAACCTAAAGTCTATTTAGGTTCGCTAGCCGGTGCCTAGCCGCGCTAGCACCAGGAGGGCGGTTTAGGTCAGCGAATAAGCTATGGTCACATGACTATTAGTCATCCGTCCCTTGAACCCCCTAGATTGCACTAGTCCGAAAGGGAACATAGGCCTTGGCGAGACCTTGGGTGCGGCCCAGAGCACTTGATGTCACCTTGGAACAAGGCGGACGACACCTCTATTTCGAATGAAGAGCTTCCCCCAGCCTTCAACTGAATCCAAACCTCCGTCCATCACAACCATTGATTTCCCAATAATGTGGCTTCTCACTAGGCTTCCTAAATAAAAAAAATACTATCCTAGACATAATACCTTTCTCTGGCGAGAACAATGGACGGCGACGAAAGTGCTCCACTACTCGGCCAGTCCGCATCACCGTCCAAGTCTCATCGGGAAAGTCATACGAAGAGAAGTGGTCAACAGGACCACGACCGGCAGGCCTCCGAAACAACACCTCTTCTGGCAAGAGAGCCGCAGAGAACCTCACAAGAGGATGTCCGTTCCATAGCATCGTCACACGATGCATTCCGTCCAGCGACGTCAGAGCAGGAAGCGGACGGAAAAGGAAACAGAGTAAGATGGCCAGTTATAATATCATTAGTTACTCTTTGTCTAGCAGCGATTGCAATCCTCGTTTTTGGGTTTGCCGCCCCCTCAGCTCTGGACGAATATGCAACTCAAGCCGCTGTCATCGAGCCGATTGCAGTTTCCATCGCCGCATTCACGTCGTCTGGTGTACGAGCCAGAGTCCAAGCTTCGTTTACCCTTGATGCTTCCCGAGTGGAAAAGCCAATTGTGCGCAATTTAGGCCGTTTGGCTACTTGGGTTGGAAGAGAAGTTGAGAGCGGCGAGTCGGACATCCAGGTTTATCTTCCTGAGTATGGGAACATTTTGTTAGGGACCGCCACCGTTCCCCCAATCAAGGTCGTCATTAGAAATGGCCACCAAAACAGTGTCGACTTCTTTGCTGATTTAAAAGCTGGCGATGTCGACGGGATCCGTGGAGTTGCCAACGATTGGCTGGAAGGACGCCTTGAGCATTTGCGTATCAAGGGGCAAGCTTCAGTGCCTCTTCGGTCTGGTTTGCTCAGTTTGGGGTCCCACGATGTCTCAGAGACATTGGTTCTTCAAGGTCAATCCCTGTACATGCCTTTCTTGTTCCCCTTTGCATTCTTTTTGGATCTGATCCTAACACGAACTCGTAGGCCAAGACCTCCCAGCTTTCCCTGATTTCAATGTTACGAAACTGAACGTTCATGAGTACCCGTTGCCGGGGAATAATAAAGCTATAGCCGCCGACATATCTCTCCGCATCCAAAATAAATATAATGTCGGAATCGCCGTACCTTCCCTTGCCTTTGAAATTTTAGTGCCAAACTGTGCCCCAGGCGATAATTATATTCTAATCGGTAATGCCACCAGTGACATTATTGAGATTGAACCTAAGCAACCTGTGGTTGCATCAGTGACTGGATTTGTTTATGAAGTTCCTGATGCACTGACAACCATCTGTCCTGGCAAAACATCCTCACCTTTGGACCTTTTAATACAGAGCTACATCAAAGGCCTCGAAACCGTTGTTTATGTTCGTGGAGGATCCTCGCCTACCCTTCCAGATTGGCTAGAAAGCTTCTTCCACAGCATCACAGTCCCAGTTTCTATCCCTAGCAAAGGGCTTTCAAATTTAATCAAGAGATTTTCCATGTCCAATGTGCATTTCTCCCTTCCTGACCCTTTCGAGGACCCCAATTCCCCAGAAGCGCAACCGAGAGTGTCGGCCCTTGTAAAGACAGTTGTCGGTCTCCCGGAGGAGATGAACGTTCCTCTGAACATATCACGTGTTCGTACTATCGCGGACATTTATTATTCTGACGCAAAACTCGGTTATATAGATTTACAAAAATGGCAAAATGCGACAGTCCACCGTATAGAAGGCGGGCAGCACTCTCCAGCTTTACTGGTAGAGTTTGCTATCAAGAAGGCTCCGTTGCAAATCGTCGACGAGGATGTATTTGCGGACGTTGTTAAAAAGGTAATAATGGATAGAGAAACCATCTACCTAGATGTCAAGGCCAATGTGTCTGCGGAGCTGGATACGGGTCTTGGGAAGTTTGTACTTCGAGACATTCCCGCTAGCGGGAATATCACTGTGAAAGGTTAGTTCTGAGTTGCTTAACTACATAACAACTTCGTAATAGCAATAGCTAACCTAACCGCTAGCTCCGCTTGGGGGAGGAGGTTTCAGCGACTTCCACCCCAAAATCGAGTCTATAAGAATATCTCAAACAACAAAATCTAGCATTTCTCTTGAGACACTCGTAAATTTCACCAATCCGACAAGCTACTCCGCAAATGTTCCTTATGTCGACATGGAGGTAATTTACAATGGTTCGCGTGTTGCTCATGTACTGGGTAGGCGTCTGTCGGTATCCCCTGGCCTCAATTCTTTGGTTGAAATTGTGGGGCTCTGGAACCCTTTTCATGGCGGCGGATCCGAAGGAGTAATCGCTGGTCGAGAGCTTATTTCTAGCTATATATCTGGTAAGCATCTAGTGATGGCTCTCGAACCGGGGTTTTCTAACTATTCTTCCAGGGTTGAATACCAGTGTGAGATTATCGCCGCATTCAGGCTCTATTCCATCTTTCCCAGCACTTGGGAAAGCATTGTCGATGCTCCAAATCGAAGTTCCGCTACCAAAACTTCATCTTCCTGATGACGGTGATGAGAATGGGACCCCCGACGATCGACCACACTTCATCAAAGAGGCAACGGTATGGTCTACACTTATCACATTCATGAGGGGACACATCTAGTCATTTCGTCTTTTCTTTTCTGTGGGTTTTTGTCCCTTCTATGCTCGCCATGTTCTTAGCTACGCTACATGCCGTATTTTTGTTCTTCATACTGACATACCCCTTGGTGGTTCTTTAGATGCACCTGTGGACTTCGACGGCGGATTTCTCGCTGTTATCTCCACTGCCGAATACAACCCTCTTTATCACATTTGTTGACGCGACCGCCCTATACAATCACACTTCACCGGTTGGCAGAATCCAGTATGACTCCCCGTTCCCCGTCCCACCTGGACTTTCTCAGACGCCACGGCTTCCGGTGGAATTAGACCTTGGGGGGGCAGGATATGAAGCTCTCAAAAAAGCACTTGGGGGAACTTTAGAGATAGATGCCATTGCTGACATTGGCATTAAACTGGGCGAATATGTGGACTCAATATCTTACAGGGGAAAAGGTATCGGCGCAAAGGTACGATTATAACGAGGCTGATGACGGATATTAGACAGGGCACTGTCAAAATGGGATTAACACCAAACATGATGCTTAGAGAACCGAGCTTTTGTTTTTCCTTAACATACTACTTATCTTTAGGAGTTCTGGTGGATTTTGGTAGCTTTCGGAGCTGGTTACTGGCGAGTTGGAAGGATTGTGGTCATGACGGCAATGATGATAAACGATACTGCTTGGCCTTGCTCGGTGCTAAATCTATTTTGGATATTTTCCTCGGGAAATCGACACGGCATTCTGTGTAACTCCTCTTATTCAACTTGTCGATCTTCAAGCTAATCCTAGCAAGCTAGCCCTTGCTTATATTAGCTTTTCGTTTTGCCGGCCCCCCTTCGATGCCACGTTGTTTGCTATCAGGGATTGTGCTCATGTCCATATGTCGGGAGGCGCCCAAAGACCCCCTGAAGAGCCACGAACCGCCCAAAGAGCAACATAGATGACCCCAGGAATCTGGGTGTGGCAAACCCAATCCCATCTCGTCTAAAGCGTGTTTGCTTTTCGTACGTGGCAGAAGAGAAAAGGACCTTCCCCCTCGCAGCAGGTCTGAATGCGGCTGATTCGTTTCCATAAAATGCGAGAGCCGACGGTCAAGAATCACATGTCACTGATGTTTGACGGGGATGTAGTCTCTTAGGATCGGCGCAATATAGGTCCCAAAGAACGTGGATGGGATTTTAGTTTGACAGTCAGAGAGGTGTGAGCACCCCCTGCTATACAGTAGTAGTGAGAGACGAGATACAGAAGCTCGCACCAGCCGCCAGGGTGAGGTGGGATAACCTTGTTAAAGGCAATTCGATGCTAAATCCGCCATCAACTACTCCGTAGTTAGAGTTAGCTTAGAGAGATCCCTACAGTCAGTTAGTCAATGTAAAGCCTTCCGACGCGTGTGCCGAGTTAATTTTTAGCCTACACTGCTAGACAGGGTCCGAGCACGGTTGATCAAGCTCTCCATAGCATTGCTTCTTAGATGTAAGATAGCTCATTGCGGTGCAGAGCCAAGATGCCATAAAACCTATGGTTCCTTTGATCAATCACCCGTGTTCCCCCAATCCAATCTCGACCATGCATCGTTCTGCCAGCTTCATAAGATATTCTTGGAGCGAATACGTTCAATCCTTGGGATATGGCTTGTAACAGGTGGTCGGTTCAAATGTATTGAGATACCACCCATGATGATAGATGGTGCTGCGGCCGTTGCATTGGCATTGGGACCATTGATTGTCAATCAGCATAGCTACCATGCCATGACGAAATATAACCCCGTTCTTTTGTTTCCCGCTTTGTTCTCGTGGGAGGCGGGGAGCCAGGGCTATTCAAGCCCTTCCATCAAATAGGCTCTTGTTTCGCAACATGTACGCATAGGCCTCAACATCTTCCCTGTGT